GGCTCAACCACTGAGACACACCAGCTGGGCTGAATGTTGTCTTTAGTTTATTGATTTAGACAGAGAGGAAGGGAGAGTGAGAGCGAGAACGAGAGAGAGAGAGAAATATCAATTTGTTGCTTCACTTATTCATGCATTCATTGGTTGATTCTTGTATGTACCCTGACAAGAGATTGAACCTGCAACCTTGGCATATGGGGATGATGCTCTAACCAGCTGAGCTACCTAGCCAGGGCCAAGGTCTGGATTTTTGGTAAAGACAGTACACTAAGTACCCAACCTAGCCCCTTTTGCTTCAAATACACAATATTGATAGAAAAAATATTTAAAATAGTGAACTAGTCTGGCTGGTGTGATTCAGTGGTTGAGTGTCGATCCATGCACCAAGAGGTCACTGGTTTGATTCCTGGTCAGGGCACATGCCCAGGTGGTGGGCTCAATCCCCATCGGGAGGCAATCGATGTTCTCTCTCATCATGTTTCTATATCTCTCCCCTTCTCACTTCCTCCCTTTCTAAAATCAATAAATAAAAAACTAATATTAAAAAAAAAAAGTGAACTAGCCCTGGCCAATTTGGCTCAGCGGTTGGAGCATCCATGGCAGACCAAATAGTCATGGTCATGTTTGTTTCAGGCCCAGGGGTTATGTGAAGGCAACAAATGTGTGTCTCCCACATTGATGTTTCTCCCCCCCCCCCCACCTCCTACTCTATCCTCAAATGCCAAGTCTTGAACAGAGCTGATGGTACAGATGTGCAGAGCTCTGGGCCTGCAAATGGGCAGCAGCAGCAGCAGCAGCAGCGTTAAAGTCCTATAGAGAAATAGGAACTGACTGAGGACAGGGAGCTAGAGTCAGAACAATGATATCCCTGTATCTGAAAAGGAGGCTGTAAAAATTGCCAGCTCCCTGACTGGAGCTCATGGCCCAGAAAGGGCCCAAAAAGGCAGGAGGACTTGGATGTGCTTTCAAGACCAGAAACAGAACCAATTTGCCCTCTTCTCAGGCACTTCATTTGAAATACCTTCAATATCGCAGTGGGGCAGGAGCCCCAGAATAGCATTATAAGACATGAATTTTAACTGGGAGCAAGGAGGCAAAGTAACAGCAATGGCCAAATTGTAGGTCAGGGAAGAGTGAACACAAAGAAAAACAGATAAAACAAGATAAAAACAAAAAGATATCCCACCCAAGATGACGTTACAAACGCAAAATCCCAAAACATATGAAGAAATAGCATGATGTTTGACCTGAGGATGATCAAGAGAGTCTGGATGGAAGAGGGCAGCCATATCTTGTTCCCCTGCTTAACTCACCAGCATTGCCTCAGGTTTACCTTAAGGAGAACAACTTAGTGGAGAAATGTTGAGGGTAATGGCCAGGCTCTCCCAACAAGCCTCTTCCAAACCCTTCTGAGTCTACTACTTACTTCCGGAAGGAGCTGTTGGCTGGTGATGAGAATTTATGTCTTAAATTTTCTTTTTAAGATATTCCATTATCGCCCTGGCCGGTTTGGCTCAGCGGTTACAGCGCCGACCTGCGGTCCGGAGAGACCCGGTTTCGGTTCCCGCTAAGGGCACGTACTTCGGTTGCAGTTTGTCCCCGGCCCTGGTTGGTCGTGCGGGTGGCAGCCACTCGATGTGTCCCTTCACGTCGATGTTTCTCTCTCTCTCTCCCTTCCTCTCTCTCCCTCCCACTCTATAAAAAAAAAAAAAAAAAAAAAAGATATTCCATTATCAGAAATAAAATGGACTGACATCTGTGCCTCATATACATTATAGTATCCCAGACATCCTGCCCTGGCATTTGAAACACAACACAGTTCTGACCCTTTTCAGTTAGGTGAAAATTTAGCCATGGCAGAACAGTGACAATCCCCACTCTCATTGTGATAAACTGAATCCTCTTACTGTTACTTGGCCAGTAGCCAGAATCCACACATGAACTGGGAAGCAAAAAGCAAGGCAAGTGGAAAGAAGAAAAGTTTACTCAGAGGAAATTGCTAATTTACATCATTATAAATCTGATAAATACCTGCAGGAGAGTGGATTTTAAGTGTGACTGACCAAGGAGATCAGAGCATAATTTTGGATGGAGTTGCATTTATTTACTATGGGAGTTGCATTTATTTACTATTAGATTGGTGGTATTCAAAGGGTGGTCCACAGACTGGTGCTGCATGATGAACTGTTTCTTTCAGGTATAGGATGAGTATAGAATTCAAGAGTAAGCACTTTAAAAAGCCCTGGCTAGGGAGCTCAGGTGGTTACAGCATCATCCCAATACACCAAAGTTGTGGGTTTGATCCTGGGTCAAGACACATACAAGAATCAACCAGTGAATTCATAAATAAGTGGAACAACAAATTGATGTTTCTCTCTCTCTCTCTCTAAAATCAATAAATTAAAAAAATTTTAAAACATTTGTCAGATTACTTTTATATATGTTAATTATAACCAAAAAATGAACTTGTAATTTTTGTTTTTTAGGTTGCACTTTTTCAAATAATTCATTTTTATTGTATTTTATAAAAGTATCATTTGTGATAGACTGAAAATAATCAAGACTGGTTCTTCCCCACAGATCATTTGAGAAGCACCAGGGAAAATAGCAGATTTTGTTCACTAACTGGAACAGGCAAGCCGACAGTTGTTTAACTGATAAAACAGTTTTTGTTTTCTTTGTTATGAATAATGCAAATCCAGATTTTATGCTGGCCCATCAAATATTTCTGAAAAGCCAAATATCTTCTGGCATAATGTGCAAGCAGTAATTTAAAGGCTCCAGGGGACAAGAAGAACTGGATTGGATTCATCATACATATTCTACCCATGCACTATGTCCCATGATAGGTTCCAGAAAAATCTTCCTTCATTAGGTCCTGAGGGATAAAGTATACTGCAAGTGATAGAATTTTTATAAAGCTTTTCATTGGTTAGACTCTCTATGCCAAATATGTTAATAAAGGCACTACAGTTGAATGGGCTCCCTGATCTCTGGAAGTGGGGTTGGGCTTACCCTCAGCGAAAACCTCCAGAGCATAATGATTTTTCACAAATGACAGCAGGGTAGCTATGATTCTCAAATATCTACACATACCTCATCATGCACAGACTTCTGACTTTTTAAATTAATCGTGGGCTCCCCAGAATGAAACTGTAAGTGACTGTGGCACACACCTATTTCTGCCACCACACCTTGCTGCTTTAACTGTTGTGGCTAGAACAGCTTCCTTTGCAGTAGTCATATGACACAATTCTGGCCAAAGAGAAATCTATTGGGTACTTCTAGAAAGGCTTCAACTTTTCCTGAAAAAAGAGACAGAGACAGTTGTCAGCCACCTTACAATCATAAGAGAAATGTTAAGAGAAGGTGATAAAGATCCTTAATATTGTTCACTTCCTAAACCAATTCCTACTTTTGGATTTCTTTTTATGTAAGAGAAAGTAGAGCTCTATTGTTTATGCCATTGTTAACTGACTTTTCTGTCACTTGCAGCCAAAAATGTTATGAACTGGTCTAGAAATTCATAAGGACTTCTTTGATTTATATTTGCTTGAATTACATGAAATTGGTATTTTTGTAGGTCAAAATGATTAACTATCAGCAGTTTTGCATCATTCAACTTGTAGATGTGTGTCGGTTAGTATGCTTTTGATAGCAAATGACAGAACACTTTAATTCAATGCATTAGGGAAGGAGACTTTGACTCATGTAAGGAAAATGCTGAAATAGGCATTCATAAGCTCAACAGTATCATCAAGGTCTTAGGTTCTTGCCAGGTCTCTCTTCTGCCTTCTGCAATGTCAGCTGCATTCTCAGGCTGCTTCCTTTAGGATCAGCAGCAGCAGCAAAGCAGGCTGTGTGTTTCTTTGCCCACTTCCAGCAGAAGAAAAGGTGTTTCTGCCCAGTATTCTGGAGAACTCTGAAATTCCCCCTAAATGCTCCCTTAGTTTATGTTTATCCCTGTATCAATGACCATGATCCTGGATGATCTTGGATGAAAAGTGTTGACTGGTGTAAATCAAACAGGGTCCACTCCTGGACCTGGGAAAGGGTCAACTTCCTCCTCCCAAAACTCTAGGTACTTTCAGGAAGTGGGCATCACTCAGGGAATGGACACAGGCTAGATAACCACAATGTCCGCTACAATAGGTTTTCATCAAGATAGGGATTTGGAGTTGGCAGCAACAGAAAGACAATAGAGAATGGAAAGACAGGCAAAATTAGGGTGTTATTATTTAGAGGGTGCTAGACAGGCAACGCTACTTACAAATACCCACTAGCTATTTCATAGACGATCCCAAAATGTATTTATTTAACCCAATAATGAAATTTGGGGTCGTAAAGAGCAGAGAAGGGAGCGTGACAGGAAGGTGAGAAGTGAGAATGGGTCCAAACAACGTGGCCTTCATACGGAGACACCCAGAAAGATCTGTTGGTGGGAAATTCCTATTAAGAATGTGAGCGAAGACTTTAAGGAACAAAATAGTAATGACACAAGAATAAACACACAAGCAACCAAATAAGCAAGCAAACAATGTAATAGAATAAAGAGTCCAGAAACAGATCCAAGTATCTATGATGACATTATATATCAACGGTAGAATTTAGGTTCCACCGGGAGTAATGTAGTTTGCTTAACAAATGGCGCTGGAATAACTGGCTCTCTATGTGGCAGAAAGCAAAGTTGGACACCTAGGTCATACATACAGGATACATTCTAGCCTTACTAACATTTTAAATTTAAAAGAGGGTGGGGAGGGCATGAATAGTTGGTTGGGGAATAAGTGAAATCTTCCTAACCCAGAAGCCGAACTGCTGCAGCTCTTATTCCGCCTCTTCCTTTGGGCCGCGTGGGCAACGTCACGTGACACCCAGCCAATGAGAATTGAGCATGGGCGGGCGGGCGGCCAATAGGACCAGGGCGGGAGATTTGAAAGGGGCTCGGCAGGGGCGCGGCCGGGGCGATTCAGTCGTTTGCCAGCGGCCAGGAGGTTCAGTGCCACGGGCCTCAGGTGAGCTGACCTCCTTTCGCGCTGGGAGAGGGCAGGTGATCAGGCTGGACGGGGGTCCGTTGGGCGGGCCCGCGTGCACTCCGTCCGGCCACTGAACGCTTAAATGTAAAGAGAGTGTCCTGGAAAGGGGTGGGGCGTGTAGCGGGGCGAGGGCGTCCGGGCCAGCGCCCTGATGGGGTCAGCGTGTTGACCTGCTCCCTTTCACCAGCCCCAGGCAATCGCTTTCGGTTAGATTGGTTCGATCTCTCCCTTTCTCACTCCCTTTTTTCTGCTTCTCACGGCTCTGTTTCCCTTCTTTGCTCAGCTCTCCTTCCCTTTTTCCTCTAAGGATGACCCAGAAGGAGAACGCCTACCCCTGGCCCTACGGCCGGCAAACGGTAAGGGCTATCCCACCTACCCTCCCCCCACCCGCATGGTGAGTTCCTGCTTGGAGATTTGAGATCCTGCAGAGGGCGATGTTCTAAGCACTTTCTTCTCCATTATGCTCCAAGTGTGTGCTGGCAGAACTTGATCTGGTTGTTTGCAACCACATCGTCATGTGTTGCCAACTTGAATCTGACCAGCCTGTGAGGACCTCTGCATGGCTGAACCTACTTGTTGTATACAAATGATAACTAAAGGCAGGGCCGGACTTCAGGCCATGATTCCCAACTCTTGTCCTGAGAGAAATAGGCTTAATAATTTGGAATTTATTGTAATGACTGGTGTGAGATAAGGATCGAAATAGATTTATTTTCCAGTTGTTCCAACACCTTTTATTGAATAGTCGACTCTCTGATTTGAAATGCCCACCCTTATTTATTATTATATTCAATTCCCACATCAGTGTGGGTCTATTTCACGACTCTATTTTGTTCAACTTGCTTATTTGTGTATTCTATACTAATATCACTGGGAACAGGATTTTACGGGCACTGAGGCTTTCTTCCTCTCTTGGTAAAGAAAAAGAAAAGAGCCATGCAGGGTTCGCTCCATTTGTAGGGCTTGGGTATCCTGGAGAGTCCATCTGTCCCTTTGTCCACCAGCTCCCTCCCTCATGGAGCACTGAGTCTGTCAAGAGTGGAAGCTGAAGGAGAACTCATTGTCACTTCTACATTGGTCACTCCCAAAAGAATATTTTGTATATTACCAAGAATTTGAAAGTGAGAAGTGGTCCAAGGCCATTTGGAGTATCCCTCGGTGTCCCTAAAGCCCGTTCTTGTAAAGGGGTAAATACTGGTATTTGCTGAACATTGAAGGCCTCAAGGACCATTTCTAAGCCTTAATAGACTGAGATTTTTAGGGGACTGTGTGAATGTCTCTGAACTAAAATTCCTTGAAATGTGGATTTTCATTACCCCAGCCTTCTACTGCCCCTGGGGTGGAGAGCTGGGTGAATTAGTCCAATTATGGACAGGACAATAGAAGTTGGACACTTTCATGCTCGAGAATGTGGTGTGGGCCAGGGCCAAAGAAGTGAAATGTTAGGTGTTGGGGTAAGCCCTTTACTCCTTATCTTAAGCTGACTTGCCTTGTTTATTAATAACCCATTCATATGAGGTTCTGAGCAGATTCTTGGGGTTGAGTAACAATATTGTGGTCTGTGACCCTCTTTGAACCGGGGTTGGGTGGGTGGGTAGCTCTATAGCAAGTACTGAAATGCTGCTTACAGCACATTCCAGCCCGGTCACTAGGACAAAGGCATCCTCAGAGCTCCCTATGCTCCTTCTCAGGCTCAGTCTGGCCTGAACACCCTGCCACAGAGAGTCCTCCGGAAGGAGACTACCACCCCATCTTCGCTTATCCTCATGAGCCGTTCCAATGCGCAGACCCCAGGTAACTGAGACAAGGGGAAGAGGATTGACCTGAGAGGACTAGAGTCTGGGGAGGCTACAGGAATGAAAATGTCAAAGGGCATTCTCAACTTACCTGTTCTTTTCTTAGCTGCCGCTGGCCAGAACAGCAGTGGGACACCCAACTTAATGTAAGTGCCCAAGCCATGGGCGGCAAGGGTGGGAGCGGGACAGTGAACAGGTAGGAAATGGGGGAGGTGGAAGCTAAGGGCAGGAGGAATAGGGATGCAGGCAAGGAAGCCTGGTCTATTTTCAACTCCCTTGGAAGAGAAACGGGGCTGAGGGAGGGGTAGGCTGAGGTGCAGAGAGAAGGCAAACACCTCAGGTGGCCCTCAAACTTGTGCCCAACTGCCTTCTCCCCACTCCAATCAGGCGGTCCTTCACAATTGATGACTTTGAGATTGGCCGTCCTCTGGGCAAAGGCAAGTTTGGAAATGTGTACTTGGCTCGGGAGAAGAAAAGCCGTTTCATCGTGGCGCTCAAGGTCCTCTTCAAGTCTCAGATAGAGAAGGAGGGTGTGGAGCATCAGCTTCGCAGGGAGATCGAAATCCAGGCCCATCTGCAGTACGGTCAATGCCCTCTGAGCCAAAGCCCCTCCGCTCCCTCCACCCAGCTCCTCTTTCAACCCCACCACATCCAGACAGTTTTCTCTGCAGCTGTGGTCACTTTGACCCCACTAAGCTCTCAATTCCAGCCAGAGCCTTGAATCCAGAAAGCTCTCTCTAGTTCCCCCTTACCACTTCCAGCTCTGGTGTCCCCCAGCCTGGTCCAAGTTTGACCCCAGTTTGCCCTATATGGGACCTGTCATCTTTCCTACTTCCTTATGCCAGGATGCTGCCTGAGGCCTCCTCTGTCTCTTCTCCCAGGCATCCCAACATCTTGCGTCTCTACAACTATTTCTATGACCGGCGAAGGATCTACTTGATTCTGGAGTATGCCCCCCGCGGGGAGCTCTACAAGGAGCTGCAGAAGAGCCGCACTTTTGACCAGCATCGAACAGCCACGGTTGGGAAGGGGTGGGCACCTGGAATGCCCACAGTGGACCTGAGGCTGGCAGGGGTGCTGCTTGCAGATGGAGGTCCGTCCTTGTCTGACTGCCTGTCTTTGGCCTTCCCAGATCATGGAGGAACTGGCAGATGCTTTGATGTACTGCCACAAGAAGAAGGTGATTCACAGAGACATCAAGCCAGAGAATCTGCTGTTGGGGCTCCAGGGAGAGCTGAAGATTGCTGACTTTGGCTGGTCTGTACACGCCCCCTCCCTGAGGTATGGTGTGCCAGGTGGCCAGCCCTGGGTGTGAGGCTTGGATGTTCAGAATAAAACTACTCCAGATCTTGTTAACTAGAAACATTTGGGTTTGTCCTCATGGAAATATATGGATAAGCAATATGTTTACAAATATTGGAGACTCACAGTTTTGTTGCCCAGATTTCTTATTCAATATATTGGGATCCTCTTGCCATATCGAGAATACTCCCACATCATTTGTTGTTGTTGTTGTTAATCCTCAGGTAAGGATATTTTTCCATTGATTTAAAAAAAATTTTTTTTTTCTGTACTGATTTTTAGAGAGAGAGGAAGGGAGAGGGAGGGAGAGATAGAAATATCAATGAGATAGAACATTGATTGGCCACCTTCTGCATGCCCCCAGCTGGGGATTGGGCCCAGAATCTGGGCATGTGCCCTGACTGGGAATCGAACTGGCGACCTCTTGGTGCATGGGTCGACGCTCAACCTCTGAGCCACACCGGCCGGGCTTTCCATTGATTTTTAGGTAGAATGGAATGGAGGGAGAAGGAGACAGGGAAACATCGATGTGAGAGAGACCCATCAGTGGTTGCCTCCCTCATGATCCTAACCAGGGTTGGGGATAGAATCAGCAATGTGGTACATGCCCTTGACCGGCAATTGATCCCATGACCCTTCTGTTAGAGGGCCAACACTCTAATGGCTGAGCCAAACCAGCCAGGGCCATCTCCCATGTCATTTTTAATGGCTTCAGAGTATTGCATAGTAGAGATGTAGCGTGATTTATTTAAGCAGGACATGATTGATTAACATTCAAGTTGCCTCCAATTTTTCCTTTAATTCTAAGGTGAACATTGCCCTTTTATCTGATTATTTTAAGGCACATCCCTCAATGTAGAAATGCTGAGGCAGTGTGTAAACCCATGTCTGGGGCTTTGGTTTACATCTTCACTGCCCTGCTACCCCACAAGCCCTATCAGAACTGGGTTGGAACACTGCCCTTGTGCATCCTGGGGTCTTGACTCCCTGTTGTCAGGCAACTGGGAAAGGAGAAGCCATTTATCTCTGGGATCTCTGCCCACAACCCACCCAGGAGGAAGACAATGTGTGGCACCCTGGACTACCTGCCTCCAGAGATGATTGAGGGGCGCACGCACAATGAGAAGGTGGATCTATGGTGCATTGGAGTACTCTGCTACGAGCTGCTGGTGGGAAACCCTCCCTTTGAGAGTTCTTCACACAATGAAACTTATCGGCGCATAGTCAAGGTGGGAGAGCTAACCCCAAGTGTCTGGCTAGGGCTTTGTGCTGGCTGCAGACGTCAGGGGCTGGGATTGCGAAGAACCTAGTGTAGGGCCTATGTAACTCTCCAGATAGAATGGACAGTCAAGGAAAAAGCTGCCAAGATGAAACTAACAGGTCCTTTCTCTACTTCTGCAGGTGGACCTGAAGTTCCCCACTTCTGTGCCTGTGGGAGCCCAGGACCTCATCTCCAAGCTGCTCAAACATAACCCCTCAGAACGTCTGCCCCTGGCCCAGGTCTCAGCTCACCCTTGGGTTCGGGCCCACTCTCGGAGGGTGCTGCCACCCTCGGCCCTTCAGTCTGTCCCCTGAATCGTCCCTGTCATTTACTCAGTTACATCTGTATTTATATATCTGTGTATGGGTAGTTGGAAGGAGTGGTCTCTGGCCTATTCCCTTATCTGTCTTCTACCTCCTTTTTATTTAATAAAGGCTGAAGCTTTTTATAATGATGAGGATAGATGTTTACAGGTGGAGACTTTGCTGGGGAGGAAGCTGTCCCCTACAGAGAAGAGGCTGGGAAATTACCCATACTGGATACCAGGGATGGGTACTGTATCACTGCCCCTGGTAGCACCCTGCCCTCAGCTCTGATATTGACCTGGTCATCTCCCAGACACCTTGACCCCACTGTCTTTTCTTCCCTTTGCTCTGATTCCCAGGGTCTGAGGATACGGGGGACCTTGGTTTCACTCTGCTAAGCCTGATCTCTGCCCACCTCTTACTTCTCACTCTCAATGGTCTGACCTCCAGTCTTTTTTTGGTTCAGTCCCTGCCAACCTAGGAGCAACTGAACAGTGCTGTATCCTAGCAGTTGTAGTTTCCTGTTTGTGTCACTGTTCTGATCAGGGTCTAGTACAGGAGTGAATAGAAGCAGTACTTATGGTGTCTTGTTCCTGATTAAGGTTTCTCTGTTAAGTATGATGTTTGCTGTAGGTTTACTCTCATTTTGCAGGTAAGGCAACTGAGACACATGACCTGCCAAATGTCACACAACTAGTAAGTAGGAAGCCCAAATATAAAACTCCACATTTAATACCATGCTAGAATGGTATAATGCTGCCCTTTCATAGCGCACACATTTATTTTATATATATCTATATATATCTATATGTATATTCTCACAGAAGTGGAATAAGAATTACAGATTTTGCTGTTACTAAGTATAATCTTAAAAAATCCTTTATCAAGTTAAGGTAGGATTATTCTCTTTCTGCTTTGCTAAGGGTTTGGGTTTTTTGTATCGATTGGTGTTGATTTTCATCAAAAGCTTTTTCTGTTTTGATTATTTGCTCTTTTAATCAATGTGGTAAAATATATCAATAAATTTTCTTATTTTTATTTTATCTGTTTTTCATGCTGTATTCGATTCCTAGAGCTACAGTAACAAAATATCACAAACCTGGTGATCTATAAACAACAGAAATTTACCCTGGCAGTTCTGGAGGTCCCAAATCAAGGTATCCATAGTACAACACTCACTTTGAAAGCTCTAAGGAAAAATCCTTGCCTCTTCTGGCATCAGGTGAGCCACCTTGATGGCATTTCTTGGCTGTGGCTACATAACTCCAATCTCTGCTTCTATCTTCACATGACCGAGGATATTTTTCCATTTTTTGTTCAGATAGAGTGGGAGGGAGAGAGAGAGAGAAACATCGATGTGAAGGGACACATCGAGTGGCTGCCACCCACACGACCAACCAGGGCCAGGGACAAACTGCAACCGAAGTACGTGCCCTTAGCAGGAACCAAACCCGCCTCTCTCCGGACCACAGGCTGACGCTCTAACCGCTGAGCCAAACTGGCCAGGGCAGAACACTACTCATTTGATTTATAGCCCACTCAGATAATCCAGGATGATCTCAAGATCCTTAGTTACATCTGCAAAGACACTTTTCAAAAAAACTGCACATTCATAGATTCACAGGACATAGACATATCTTGGGGGAGAGGGGAATTGCAATCCACCACATGCCCATAGATTGAAACAATTGAATAATCCTATAAGGCTATTTTTTCTTTGACAATAGTTATTGAGTGTTTTTGACATTCCGGGCTCCGTTTTAGAGGCTGAAGATAAAGCAGTGAATAAATGAGAGAAAAAAATCCTCTATGTTCATGGACTTTGCCAATCTAGAGGATCAATATACAGTGTTTGTATTATCCTGAGATGCTAGCCAAGCTAACTCATGTGGCCTTTTAGTATTTTTCTTTCTTGTACAACTTTAAAAATTTTTTAATTTATTTTTTTCTTTATTGAATTTTAGAGAGAGAGGAAGGGAGAGGGAGATAGAAACATCGATGAGAGAGAACATTGATTGGCTGCGTTCTGCATGCCCCCCACTTAGGCCCACAACCTGGGCATGTGCCCTGACCGGGAATTGAACCAGTAACCTCTTGATGCATGGGTTGACACTCAGCCACTGAGCCATACCAGTCGGGCTCTTTCTTATACAACTTTTGACCATCCCTGAAGTTGTCTTATTTGTTCAATACCCTATGTATAGATCACCAATCCATCTCCAAGCTCGTCAGTGTGAGTACTTACAGCTGTCAACATCCATCAAGGTGTTATTTCATTGCATCGCACAGGCCTGATATGGAGTATAGTATTTGGTATTTTTCAGGTCTCAATATTTTCTAATTACCATTATGATTTCTTCTCTGATCCAGGAGTATTTCAAAGGTGTTTTAAAAATTCCAAACACATGGGCTTTCCCCTACCTATGCTCTGCCCCATTTCTCTTTTGCCCTCACCACCACGCCTGCCAGGCAAATGCCCTGTGCTTGCCTCCTTGGGCCCCAGGCTTCACTTCCCCAGGGCCTGGGTTTGAGCTCTGTATTATCTCTAAAAGTTTCTGTTTTAATTTACACAAATTAAATGAGTTAATTCACTTGTAAATAATGTAAGGTGAAATTCCACTTTTCCAGTTATACTAATACCAGTTCGGTACATCTTTCTAGTCCTTTTCCTTTGTATTTACATTCATATCTATGTACTTTTAGAAAACAGCAGGTTTTTTTTTTTTAGCATGTGGGGATTTCTTTAATGTAAATAGTATTGACCTATATGTGTTGTTTTGTCACTTCCTTTTTTCCTTATGATGCCTTAGAAGGCTCTCTAGGACAGTATGGATAGATGTGATTTTTAAAGCGGCTGCATTATAATCCTTAATATGAATATTCCTATGTTTTTTAAAAAGCCATTCTGTTGATGGACATGTAGACTATTTTTAGTGTGTTGTACTATGGCCATGTCTTCTGCATGCCTCCCTGTGTTCCTGTGTGAGAGCTTCTCTGGGGAAGATCTAGAGGACATGGCCCTGCTGGGTGGTGAGGTTTCCCCTCAGGGCACATACATATTTAAAAAAATAACCTATTCCATTTTATCACAATTTTAAATGAAAAAGAAGAATTGTACTGAGCCCTGGCCTGTTTGGCTCAGTGGTTAGCGTGTTGGCCTGTGATCCACAAAGACCCAGGTTCGGTTCCCACTAAGGGCATGTACCTCGGTTGCCATTTGGCCCTGGCCCTGGTTGGGTTGTGTGGGTGACAACACACTCAATGTGTCCCTTTCACGTCGATGTTTCTCTCTCTCTCTCTCTCCCTCCTGCTCTATCTGAATTAAAAAATGGGAAAAATGTACTCAGCTGAGGATAAAACAAAAAAAGAAAAAATATACTGAAAGAAAACAGTGGTAAATGTTTCGTTTTTGTTTTTTAAAATACGTTTTTATTGATTTTTTTTTTTTTTTTGAGAGGGAGAGAAAGATAGAAACATCCATGTGAGAATGAAACATCCATCGGCTGCCTCCTGCACGTCCCCTACTAGGGATCAAGCAAGAAACCAACCAGGCATGTGCCCTGACTGGGAATCCAATCCGGACTTCTTAGTCCGTGGGAGGACATTCAATCCGCAGAGCTACACTGGCTGGGCTGGAATCAGTTCTTTTTGGTGAAAGGAATGAAATCATTATTTTTGTTTTGTTTTAGTTCAAATACTTGGTCTCATACTAAATTCCCATATTCAGGAATTGCATAGTTTGTAACAAAAATATGTGTTTTTATGGAGTAGCAGGGAAAAAGGGCATTTAACAAGACACTTGTCCTAGACTGCAGCAAAACTCATCCTTCTCTGTGTAGTACAGGCTTTTTTGACCAAAAATATTTTTATAAAATATTGAAAAGATTATTCCAAAGCCTCATAAACAGTGTGCATATGTGAGAACAGAGTCACATCAGACATCCAGAAGTGACCAAAGCTGGTGACAGTGATAGGCAAACAGGAGAAGTGATCCCTTCCTGGGAGGTGAGCCACTTCCCAGAAGCCTGTAGTGCAAGAGGTGGCAAACTTTATCTGTAAAAGTCCCGGAAGTAATTAATTAGGGCTTTGCAGGCCATATGGCCTCTGCTGAAACTACTAAACTCTGCGTTATGGCACAAAAGCAACCACAGACATGACATAAATGGGTGAATATGGCTATATGCCAATAAAACTTTATGGACATTAACATTTGAATTTCATATAATTATATTAATTTTCATATTTCGATTATTTTTCAACCATTTAAAAAATTTAAAAAACTCCTAAATTATACTTTGACAACAAATAATGTGTCAGCCACATTGTTGTTATAAATACTCTTGTGGCTCAGTGTTAAAGTGTCAGCCTGCAGATGGAAGGGTCTCAAGTTTGATTCCCAATCAAGGTCCTGTACCTGGGTTGCAGGTTTGATCCCTGGATTGATGTGTCTCTCTCACATCAATATTTATCTTTCTCCCTTCTTCCCTCCCACTCTATCTAAAAAGCAATGGAAAAATATCCTCAAGTGAAGATTTTAAAAAAGCAACTCTTGCTATGTAATACATGTGGCAAGAAATAAACTTTGGAATATTAATTCTTAAACTTTAGAACATTAATATTTAAGCATGGAATAGAGTTTACATAAGCATGGAATTAGAACTTGCTTGTTTTTTTTCTACATTACAAGGTAAAAATTTGTTTCTTAATATTTGTGTTTATTTGGTTTAGGCAAGTTTTGTGCCATGAATAGGTGTCGTGTAATCAAATCAGACAACACAGGCATAGAGAATTAATTTATAAACTTTACATAGAGGTATCACCTCACACCTGTCAGAATGGCCGCCATCAACAACTCATCAAACAACAAGTGTTGGCGAGGGTGTGGAGAAAAGAGGACACTAGCACACTGCTGGTGGGAATGCAGACTGGTCAGCCACTATGGAAAACAATATGGTGTTACCTCAAAAAATTAAAAATCGAACTTCCATTTGACCCAGTGATCCCACTTCTAGGAATATACCCTAAGAAGCCTGAAACACCAATCAGAAAGAATATATGTAACCCCATGTTCACAGCAGCACTATTTACAATAGCTAAAATCTGGAAATAGCCCAACTGTCCATCAGTAGATGAGTGGATAAAAAAGCTGTGGTACATATACACGATGGAGTACTATGCAGCTGTAAGAAAGAAAGATCTCTTATCCTTTGAGATGACATGGAGGGACCTGGGAAGTATTATCCTAAGTGAAACAAGCCAAGCAGAAAAAGACAAATACCACATGATTTCACTTATTTGTGGAATATAATGAACATAACAGTCTGAGGAATGGGGTAGTCCCAGAGACATGGAAGTGGGGTACAGACTGACAACCCTCAGAAGAGGGGGTAGGGAGGGAGGGAAGAGATAAAACACAGAACTTGCATGTACGCATAACCAATGGACATGGACAACAAAGCTGGGGATGGGGCGGGGAGATGGGGAGGAGGGTGTCAATGGGGTAAAAAAGGAGAAACATCTGTAACAAAAATAAAATTAAAAAAAAAGAAAATCTTAAAAAAATAAATAAATAAAAACTTTATATAGACTATTATAATATTAGACATGACAGGAAGAATTGAGTTTATTTGCCTGGACAGCTTGGATTTGTCTGCCTTTATTTTTGTTTGTTTTTTTTTTGTCCTCACCCGAGGACACTCTTCAATATTTTGTTAGATAGAGTGGGAGGGGGAGAGAGAGAGAGATAGAGAAACTTCGATGTAAAGGGACACATAGAGTGGTTGCCACCTACACAGCCCAACCAGGGCCAGGGACAAACTTCAACCGAGATACATGCCCTTAGCAGGAACCGAACCTGGGACTCTCTGGTCTGCAGGCCGATGCTCTAACCGCTGAGCCAAACCAGCCAGGGCTGTGTTTTTTTTTTGTTTGTTTGTTTTTTTAAATAAGTGTACAATAACCCCCCCCCCCCCCAATCAAAACTAAAAATGTAAAATATCATTCTTAGCTCACAGGCCATATAAAAACAGGTAGAGAGCAGGATTTGGCCCATGGGCCATACTTTATTGACCCCTAATGTAGTGGACACTGTGGTAGTTCCCTCACAACCTGTCCTCCCTCCCTGACTGCACTACAGTTACTTGAGTTTGGGAGAATTGACCTACCCCTAGATCCAGAAGGAGCATTCTTGTTTTAACCCAATAAGTTAATTCTTATCACCTTGCCAGAGTGATTGCTTCTGGACTCGGGTCCAAGTCAATCAGACATGGTATTACACCAGCCAAAGTGACTACATTGGTATGTGAACCAGTTTAGGCCAATGAGATATGAAGGGAGATTAACTGGGGCTTTTGGGAAAGGCATCATTGTCCTTCTGTGAAGCCTAATGGAAGCTAGTCTTTTCTCCTCATCTGGAAGGTGTGGGAGTATATGTATCAGCCAGGTTCCTGTTGCATGTGTGAAAATTAATTTCAAAAACCTCATTTAAAAGGAAGTTGGGCCTGGCCAGTGTGGCTCAGTGGTTGAGTGTCGACCCACACACCAGGAGGTCGCTGGTTCGATTCCCGGTCAAGGTATATGCCCATGTTGTGGGCCAAATCCCCAGTGGGGGGCATGCAGGAGGTGGCCAATCAATGTTCTCTCTCATCGATGTTTCTCTCTCTCTCTCTCTCTCTCTCCCCCTTTCTCTCTAAAAAGAAATCAATAAAGAAAAAAAAAAAGTTTTTTTAATGGAGTCAGTGGAGAGGGGGTTGGGTGGAGGGGGGCAAAAAAGGATAAAATGGGAGACATCTGCACTACTGTCAACAATAAAATAAAATTTAAAAAAGAAATAAAATAAAATGGAACCGGGAGGCTAGAAGAGAAACTCTCATGCAGGTGTCACGCAACACACACTATAGACCCCAACAGGAGGAGACACCTTGCTCTCAGACAGAATGTGATATTACTTTACTACCTCAACTGGAGGAAGAAAAGATTTCTTCTTTTGCACTAACAGCTCAGCCAATGAGAGACCGACATAACTCAACCAAAGAAAAGTCACTACACTTCCAACTTTCAGTTCCCTCTAATAAACTCATTTTATAACAGCCCCTCCCAAGACCATAAAAGAGCATTTCCTCTCCTTTGTTCCTCTGGACTTGCATGTAGTTTGCCATTAGATCCCAAGTCCCAAATTGCAACTCTTTGTTGTTCCCAAATAAACCCATTAAAATATATATATTTTTTCTTTATTGATTTTAGAGAGAGAGAGGGAAAGGAAGAGAGAGATAGAAACATCGATGAGAGAGAACATCAATTGGCCGCCTCCTGCATGCCCCCCACTGGGGATCGGGCCCACAACTTGGGCGTGTGCCCTGACTAGGAATCAAACTGGTGACCTCTTGGTGCATGGGTCAATGTTCAACCACTGAGCCACACCAGCTGGGCCAAATAAACCCATTTTGCTGAAGAAATACTATTTGTCATTTAAGCAGAAAAAGACCTTATTATAAGCATCCAGGGTAACTCACAGAATCTCCAGAAGTGCTAGGAGAATCAGGCTTTGCATCTACACAGCCAGGAAGACTTTTACTGCAGAAGTGGTCCAGCAGACCATGATGGAGGCTGAGTCATGTACTAGGGAAGCTAGGAAAGGGACTGCTTGATATTCTGGCTTTTGTAGTGGAAGATGGGCTCTGCCTAATGAGGTGGAAAAGTTGTCAAATGTTGATTCAGATCCTGGGAGGCCAAAATGAATGATAAATGAGCCCTGTTATGGACCGAATGTTATTTCTCTCCAAAATTCATATGTTGAAGTCCTAACATCATGTGATGATGTTTGGAGGTGGGCCTTTAGAGGTAATTAGGTTTAGATGAGGTCATGAGGATGGGGTCCTCATAATGGGATTAATGTTCTTTTTCTCACCATCATGTAAGGACATATCTAGAAGATGGGTGTCTACAAGCCAGGAAGAAGGGCCTTACCAGGAACTTGATTAGCTGGCACCTTGGGCTTCTCAGCCTCCAAAAATGGGAGAAAGGTCTGTGGTTTAAGACACTCAATTCATAGTATTTTGTTACAGCATCCTGAGAAAACTAACATAACCCCCAAAGAATAGCAAATGACATAGCCATTTTGGCACCATGAGGAAGCCCACTTGGGATAAAGCTGCACTACAGATAGAAACCAAGTCCTTCATGACAGACTTACAGAACTGAATGTAGGCTTCTCTGACATCCATTCTGTCTTAAGATCATTATTGTGTGACAATCTCAGAGAAAGGGGAAAAAGCTTTGAGTAGACCATTGGCCATGTGGTATATTAGTAAAGACTGGGTGCAAGTGACAAAAATCCATCTTAAATGAGTTCAAGCCCCCAAAATGGGAAATTAATTACTTAGGTCATTTTCTTAGTAAATATTTATTGAGCACCTCCTACATACTAGATACTGTTCTAAGCACTTGGGTTACAGATGAGCACAAAACAGACACAATGCCTTATCCTCATGGAACTTACATAAGCAAGCAAGCAAAATATATAGTATGTCAGATGGTGATAAGTGCTACAGAGAAAAGGGAAGTAAGGAAGACTGGGAATTGCTGGGTACAGTGGTACCATTTTAAACAGGTTGCACGGGGAGGCCTCAGTGGAAAGGTAACATTTGAATAAGAACCTGAAAGGGCCACACTGGCCGGTTTGGCTCAGTGGTTAGAGAGTTGGCCTGCAGGCCCATGGGTCCAGGATTGGATCATCGCCAAAAGCACATACCTGGGTTGCTGATTTGAAACTCTGCCCAGTGGGGGTTGTGCAGGAGGCAACCAATCAACATGGATGTTCCTCTCTGTCTCTCTTCCTCTCTTTCGCTCTATCTAAAAATCAATGGAAAAATATATCCCTGGTGAGGATGAACAAAAAAGATAAACAAATAAAAAAGAACCTGAAGGTGAGAAGGAAAGGGGAATACCCAAACCGATGATTTTTCTTGGTAGACTCCGTGTTAGGGGGAAAAAAGGCAAGAGCGACTGTAAATCCCTGCGGTGGAAGCATGTCTGTCCTGTCAGAGGAACAGTGAGGAGGAGGCCAGTGTGGCTCCAGTAGGACCAATAAGGGGGAGAGAAGGAAGAGATGAGATCAGAATGGTACCAGGGCTCTGATTTTCATGTAGGGACATTCACTTATTAAATATTTTACCTAGTGGCAAAATCACATGCCATTCTCCAAGGGAAGAGACTCAAACCTGGAGGGGTCAGAAAAAAAACAGAGTGGAAAAAGCACAGGAAAGCCCTTAAATCCGCCTTGCTGTCTACCATTAGTCGCTCTGGATAGTTCATCTGCTAGGTCTGTGAGCTGAGGACGACGGTACGAACCATTCATGTTCTGCTGAGAACTGTTCGTCCTTCCAGATCAACTAGGTGCGGTTCAGTGCCGATGGTCCGAGCAGGATATACTATTTCCATTCCATGAACCTCTCTTAGGACACCAAGTCTGATTGCTACGTTGTGTGGTTGCTAAGCAGCAATTGTGGGCGTGACCGTTGTGGGCGGAAAGAGTCTGAGCCCGGCCCCTGGAGGACTCCGGTATTTCAAGACCTTGATCTTGAAAATACTTTTTGAAAGGGTGGGACGACCAGAGCGGCTGTCACCTCCTTATCTCCACCCCGCTGGCTCTTACTTGTGTCCGGCTGTTCAATAACAGCTCTTTTTCCGGGACTTCCCGGTCGCCGTGGCCAATCAGAGCGTTGTTCCAGTCCTTACCATTGTCAGCCCGCAGCCAACGGCGCGCCTCTACCAACGCCCCTTAAAGGCGCCGCCGACGCCTCCGAAGCCGGGGCGAACCAGTTCCTCGGTTCCTGCCCCCAAATGCAGCATGGAGTCGTCCGTGGGGCGGCCTGGGCCCGAGGCAGACCTTCTGGCTCTGGGGGGACAGCAAGCCGCGATCTTCAGTGGCGGCCCGGGTCCAGCGCCCTCTGAGCCGCCCTCAGGCTTCCGGGTGTCGGGGGAGGAGAAGGCCGAGAACGTTGGAGCCTCGAGCCGCCACCCCACGGCGTCCCCTAAGACTTTGAGCTGCAGTGTCGACCACTGGCCGGAACCGGAGGCTCGGGAGAACGAGGCTGGCCGCGCAGTGACGCCGTGTGGACCCGGGAGCCGCGTGGCGGCGCTGGGTCCCGGGCATGACCCGCACGGGTTTTCCATACAGAAGGACCCTGAGTCGCCCGAGGACAAGCCTGCATCCGAAAAGATCCACCGTCGAGGGAGCCAGGGAGGCGGCGGGATGGATGTTGAGCAGGAGCAGGAGGAGGAAGACGACGAGGGGGAGGCCGGCAGGGCTGGCAGGTCGTTCTCCAGCCGCCTTCAGGACAGCCGCAGTCTTGATGGGCTGAGCGGGGCGTGCGGCGGCTCCGGGTCCGCAGGAGGTGCGGAGTCTGGCGCGGGCGTCGGGCGTCGCGCCACTATCTCCAGCCCCCTGGAGCTCGAGGGCACGGTGAGCCGACAAGGCGACCTCACCCACTTTGTCGCCAACAACCTGCAACTCAAGATCCGTCTGAGCAGCACCTCTCAACCCCCGACCCCTGCCCCTGCGCCGCCCTGTTCAGCACCCTCATCCACTCCAGCCATCCCCCCCATCGACCCCGACGTGCTGCGGGACCTAGAACGGCTGAGTCGGGAGCTGGGCGGTAGGGTAGACCGTCTGCTTCGCGGGCTGGGTGGCGCGGTGCAGGAGCTGACAGCACTGAGCGTGGGCTGCATCCAGACCTACCGCGACGCCGTGGACTCCCTAGGCGAAGCCGTGGACATGAGCATCAAGGGAATGTACACCCTGCTGGCGCGCTGCGAGGAGCTGGAGAGGGCTCTGCAGCCGGTGCAGGGACTGGCGCGCCAAGTCCGGGATATCCGACGCACACTGGAGGTGTTGGAGGCTCTGTGCAAGTGACCAGGAGGGCAAGAGAGTCCAGGCCAGGACCCAGTAGGGTCCTAAGGACTCTTCAAGGAGCTCTGGCGGGGAAACCGATTTAATGGAGGCTCTTTCAGATGCATTTAGCAGGCCGGCGTCCATTCGCTGGGCCATGTATATGGGGAAGTTCTAAAGGTTTTCCTGGTTGTAGGTGATAATGCTCAGCTTCTATTCAGTTGGCCATCTGCAGCTACGTTGTCCTCCCCAACTCTCTTCCTTAGCTAAAAAATCGTCCCTTGGAACCCAGGGCTTCAGGTCTGGGCTTGGGAGATGTGACTGCCATCTGTAATCAAGAAAGGAGAACGGAAGAGGCCTAAGCCCCAACTGTGGCCCCTCTAACTCCAGTGGCCACATCTCAGGTGCCAGGGCCTATGGGAGCATGAGTGGTCCTTGGCCACACACCATGCACACAAGGATGCACACCTGCACATGGATAGCCCCCTGCTTCTGCCCACTGACCCCTGCCATCCCATTTCAGCCAGAACCAGGGTGGAGCTAGAAGGAATGCAATGCATGGTAGAGGGTGTGAGTTGGGAGGGGTTCTCACTGCTCTCAGGGTTCAGTAGAATTGTTGCTGGTTTTGAAGCCCACCTGTTGTGGAGTGTTCTAATCAGTTTTGGCTTTCTGAGTTTTTGTGGAATTAAAGTGCTGCTGCTGCTAAGGCTGAGGCTGTGTCTGTGTGGCGTTACAGGGATAAATGAGCCAAAAGAATGGGAATAGGGAATCCATCTTTTTCGTGGAGCTCCTTTGGGGCTAGTGCTGGGAGTGAGGCAGGGTCACAGGCTACATGGGGAAGGATATGGTTCCTGCTCTTAGGCAGCAGGTCTGAGGGGAACTGCAGGACACAGATACAACCCAGAGATCCGATAAAGGTAGAAACGAAGCAAGGTGAACTCCAGAAGAGTAAGGATTGGGATTGTCTTCTCAGATCCTAATGCAAACAGTCAGGGACTGAGTGAATTGGACATCTATCCTGTTGGTGGAGAAAGATGGGAAAAACTTATTAGCTCCATTCCTGACCCTATTTCCCACACTGCACTGATAAGTGCCACATGTATGGTTTAAGACAGTCTTTGTTCCAAACCCCTGGCACCCTTCTGTTAACAGTTCATAAAGTAAGTTCCAGCAGCCACCATGTTATGGTCAGATTTAGAGAGCACAGAAAGAGCTCCAGTTTTAACTTTCCTCTTCTCCCTGAAATCACTAGCCCTTTGGATTGTCTCAACACGTTTCGCTTTTGTACATAAAGAATTCCGGGGTTGTAAATGTTCCACAAGACTTCCCCAGGAACAAGTAGTTCTTCCCCAGGAACAAGTAGTTCTTTAGTGAAAAGATAAAAGATCTCCTCCTGGCCCGTACGGGGATCGAACCCGCGACCTTGGCGTTATTAGCACCACGCTCTAACCAACTGAGCTAACCGGCCAGTTATAGTGGTGCGTTTCATATAATACTATGTAGACTTTATATTACTGATGTGTCCTGTCCAGAAAAATTAAAAAATGGGCATGACTGCTTTAGAAAGAATAAACAGAATCTGAAAACTAAATTACCAAGCATTTCAGGAAGTAATGGCCAAGACACAGCACTGACAAGCACTGATAATGCGCTAGGCGCAAATAAGGAGATCAGGACTGACAACGCGTACCGTACTGTTGATAGTGTTGATTCCCGGAGAGGGGTGCATATGAGGGAAATTGTATAGGATGGTGCTAGACGCTCAGCGATCCTTCTCGCAGTATCTTGGCAAAAGCGTACGCAAACCCAACGAGGCACCGCTGGGATTCGAACCCAGGATCTCCTGTTTACTAGACAGGCGCTTTAACCAACTAAGCCACGGCGCCTGGCGCTACGAGGTTGGAAACCTTTTCCTTGGCCAGGTCAGATTTATGGTAGGTGAATTAATGTTCATTGCTATTTTATTTCCGTAATGAAAAATTCAATAGAAAGAACGAAAACCCTTATTATTAGTGAGATAGAATGAAAACGAGACACAGAAATTGACTGTAGGCAAACGGAAGATAAGAGAAATTCTTACTTGCGGATTACAAAACAGGATGTAACAAGAACCGACGAGGATGGGATTCGAACCCACGCGTGCAGAGCACAATGGATTAGCAGTCCATCGCCTTAACCACTCGGCCACCTCGTCCGCAATAAATATTGCTGGCTTTTCTCTCTGAGGTCTGAAATCTTAACTCCGAAATAGAGACTTGTTCCACCCGCGACGAGAAGGGACTTCGTTCCTTGAGCTCCTGTCCCGCACTGCGGAGACGACTCGCAGAGCGTTTAACTGACAGAGCGACATTCTCGCCTGCGCGAGCGCCGGACTCTCTGCGTTGAGGCATCCGGAACATGCGCCAGTCCTCGGGAGCATCGCAGTCAGCCCAGGGATCTATGATGCTGGACCCGCAGCAAAAACCACCGCGGGATTGTTGAGCTTCCCCAACGGGACTGCGCGGGACTTCGCGCCAGGAGCCTTCTGCTTCCGACCCCTACAAAATGCTTCTTCCCTTACTTGGGTGCTGGGGCTCAAAGTTGAAAATGACGGGAATAAAGAGAAGCTACACAAAAAGGACTGACCCCGACGTGATTTGAACACGCAACCTTCTGATCTGGAGTCAGACGCGCTACCGTTGCGCCACGAGGTCGACCGGCCTCCGCTGTGGTCAGGTTTCTTCATAACCACTTGCCGGCTTGGTTCCCAGGCGCCAGGGGCTCAGCGATCGGGGAACAAGAACCTACGGCCTATCTAAACTTGCGACGCGGTGCTTGAGTTCCTCTCACCCACTTTGTGGGACGAGCAGGCCCACCGATCCGGCAGTGGCTTTATGGGCTCCAGGCTCAGCGGTCCCTCCGACCCCTCCCCCGGAGTCCTGAGGACGATCAGGTGGCCCAGAGCTGGTTACCTGGGGGACCCAGAACTCATAGCGCAACACAGACGGACCTGAGCAGAAACGGATGGAAGGACGGATATCAGACCCAAAGTGATAGAGCCATGCCAGAGCCCGGGGTCTCTGAAGCGGTGAGATCAGCCCTCCAGCGGTGCCTCTCCTCCCTGGCCGCCCGTTACAATCGCTAACGGAGCCTGCCAGATAGCCACGCACAGGCTCCAGATTCGAAGAGTCTGACTTAAACGTCCAGTTCTCTCCGACATCGGTAATTTCGTCAATTCTTACAATTTTAAGGAATAATTAACATACAGTGAAATGCATAGACCTTAAGTGTATATTTTGATGACTTTTGACAAATACAACCCAGAACCTTTGCAAAATACAGGATACTTCCTTCACCCCAGAAAGTTATTTCATGTCCCTTCTCAAGCCATCTCCGACTCTCCCTTCCCAGGCTAACTGTTCTGATTTTGATCACCATCAACATCAGTTTTTTTTTAAAGCTCCCTGGTAAGATAGAGCAGGGAACCTCTGAAGAGGGACACCAGAAGTTGGCAGACTCCCATTTGCTTCCTAAAGGATGAAGAGTCCAACAGGCTGGTATGGTGAAAGAGGTCCTACTGTATCTCACTTCTTCGCTTCCAAGCCAAATGTCTGCGCATTCTGCACAGTGGCTCTCTGGAAAGTTATCAAGGACTACAAAGATGTCAAACAAAGCATGAGGCCAGCACTTGGGCCTGGTCTTCATTGACCCAGGCTTCTTTAAGAGCCTTTTTCTCCCTCAGTGTCTGCTGGCCTTCCTCTGGCTCTTACTTTCCCCAAGTGTCTCTCTCTCTCTCTCTCTCTCTCTCTCTCTCTCTCTCTCTCTCTCGTCTTTTCCCTTAGAGTGCTGTCTTCTCACACACCTTCTCTGGAGTCAGCCATCACCTGTGTGCTGAGGATCCCACCACTAGATTCTGAGGGCCAGTGCCTGCTGGACAGCTCCACTTGACCTTGTCATCCTTCCTTTCCAGACCTTCTGCACTCCCAGTGAGTGGCCTTGACTCTTCCCTCTCCCTCATTTCCCATTTCCAGTCACCAAGTCCTGTCAATTCCTTTTCTTCATAATTCCCTGTCAGCCTTCATTCCCCATTCCCATTGTCATTCCCTCAGTCTCTCTTGCTGGACTATTGTAATTGACCCCTTTATGATCTCTGTGCCTCCAAACGTGTCAAAGAGAATAAATAATCTTTTAAAAATGGAAACATGATCTCATCACACTTTGGTGGCTTAAAATTGGGATTAAGTCCTAATTTACTGGCTGGGTCCCCAGGGCCAAGAGCTTCTTAAGCACGTGTACTCTGGAAGCAGGTTGCCAGGGTTCACATGCAGGCTTTGCTACTTACTAGTTGTGTAACTTGGGCTAGTTATTGAACCTCCCTGTATCTCAATGTTCTCATCTGTAAAATGGTGAAGGTTATAATAGAGTACTATTAGTTTATTTACTACAGATAGAGTGCTCAGAGTTGGCTGGTAATTATCACACAATTATTATGCTTGTTGTTATTTTTAATATCTGTTCCTTGCCTGATTCTTGAGCCACTGCCTCATCTCCCATATGACAACTATGCTGACTCATTTACAGTGGTCTAAACTCACCTTGGTCCCAACTGTCTCTGTGCCACTGTCCTTGGTAGTATTGCTTTATGGTCTTCTCAATCCTTCCTTACCTGGCTGACCCTTGCATACCCCTCAAGACTCAATTTAGAAGCTCTCTCCTCCCCTTTTCTTCCCACCAGCTGGGGGAAGAGGCCCTTCCTGTGTTTCCTTCCAACATAACATTTAAAATACTATCTTTTAATTGTTTCCTTGGTTGTTCCCCTCAACTACACCCCAAATTACTCAGTATAAAATATGTGTTCCTAGCACGCAGTACAATTCCTGTGATATAGTGTGTGTTCAGTAAGCCTTTGTGAAAATTAGGGCTAACTTTAGCAAAGCACTTTAGTAGGCAAGAGCCTTGCTTACTGAGGAGGGAGATATGTCTGGGTAGGTAAAAACTATGGGGTGAGGTGGAAATTTTTGCTAGAAAGGGAAGCTAGGTCAATGAACATGATAGTACCAGGGAAAATGGACTTGTCTAGGCTCAGAGAGTTTCTGCAGCAGGTGTGAAGTATGATCAGTTCAGTGTCACCATTCAGAGCACTCTCTGATGTTTAAACCTCTTCCATTCATCTCACCAGTTTCCAAACTTTAGAAACCAATAAATTATTCTGTCCAGAGTTGCATTGCTCAATATGGGAGCCACTAGGGTGGTTATTCAACATGGAGCTATTCAAATTAAACTAAAATTTTAAATTCAGTTCCTTAATCCTACTAGCCACATTTCAAGTGTTCAGTAGCCACATGAAGCTAGCTGGCAATCATACTGGGCAGAGACAAATATGAAATATTTCCATCATCATAGGAAGTTCTGTTAAACAGCCCTGATCCAAAGACCAAAAGCTGGTGGTCTGAGGCCTCTGTGCTATTGTAATCAGGATTATTTTTTCTTCCTATTTTTTTTTTTTCATTTTTAAGTTTGATACCAACATTTCTCATTGGAATAAGAATCTGTATTTTTGCAGATTACAACCACAACATGGTGGAATCTTCAGTACCCTGGGTCCCTGAATGGAGAAACCACTCTACCAATCTGTAAGATGTTGGCAAGAAATAAACTTCTATTGTGTTAAACCAAACAAAAGAATCTGGATTTCTGGCCTCTCTTAACACAAACAAACAAACAAAAACACAGGTATCCTGTAACACTGGACTTCGATTCCCTCAAGACAATTGACTGAAGCTGAGTAGCTGCTGCCCACTCCCCCCCACCCTTAACTGCCACACAGGCTTTAGAATGGACATGAAGACTAGTGAAAGGTAAGAGAGTGATGGTGAAGAGCTCAGATTCTCAAGTCTGCCTGGATTTGAAGCCTGGTGTCATCAATTACAGGGGCTTTGACCTGGGACAGGTAAATACTTTGCTTTGTGTTTCACTTTCCTTTTCTGTGTCTCAATGCCACTGAATTGTATACTTTAAAATGATTAATTTTATGTTGTGTAAATGTCATATAGAAAAGAAACACTAATGAGCCAACTTGAAGAGGTTCCCACTGGTCAAAACTGAGATAATTTGAGTATCAGAAATAATAACTGCAATGGACCGAAACATACAAAAGATGATAAAATCTTCAATTTCATAATGATACTAAAAACAACTAATTTGTTGCTTTTGGAGAGTGCTAGGAAACTAACTCATTATTCTGAAAACTGGTAAATAATGGGGGGAACACACACATTTATCCTGTCTCTCCTGTATGACCTGTATCTCATGGTAAACAATGAGTTGATGAGGCACATTCTTATATTTATAGCAGAATTCTGGGGGATAAATGCAGAAGGAATGATAGAATTAGGACACCCCCATTTTGCAACCCCTCATAAAATAATGGAAGTAGGCAGTGACGATCAATTAGATCAGTACATGAAAAAGTGATGGAGAACTTCATACTGGTTGCCTGAATCTAAACCCACAGCTCAGATTTAACACCAGAAAAAGAGAGAGGAGCAAACATTAAGTCTTTCCTGTTATAATGGAATAAGTACAAACCACTACTCATTATGTACTTTTATCAGAAAACAACATGAAACTGATCTTATAACCAGTTTACAGAAAACACAGGGCACAGAGGAATAAGTCAAATGACCCAACCAGAACACATTCTATAAATGACCCAGTGTCTTCAACAGATGAATTTCAAGAAACGAAAACAAGGAGGAAGGAGGAGGGAGGAGGAAGAACCTAAGATTAAAAGAGACTTAAGAGACACATTGACCAAGTTTAATGTGTGAACTTTATTTGGATCCTGATTCAAATAAACTGTAAAAAAAAAAAAAAAATGTATAAGTGGGCAATTTGAACTATCTGGTGATGTCTGGGATTTACTTAAAAATTAACTAGTAGGGCTTAAAGGAAAAGTATAGAGGAAGCAAGGTTACAGTAGGTGTCAACGGAGCTCATTATACTATTTTTTTATTTTTACATGTTTACATTTTTCCATGATAATTTTTTTTTTAAGTTCTTTTGTGACCAGTTCAAATGTTTTAATACATGGGTTCCAAAGTGAGTGAAGGACACCCGGTCACCAGCAGTACCTCCTATGACCACAGGCTGGTTCCAAAACTCAGCATTTTTGAGACTTCTCTTGGGCAGGCTTCTGGGAACCAAGGTCATGGAAAATGACAGGACAGGCCTAAATGCCTGCTCGCTGTTTATTAATTCACAATGTGAAATGTGACTACCCAGTTCTTACTATCTGGTAGGTCCCCCAGATGGGAAGCCTATTATAAGCAGAATAGTCCCCCAAAATTCCAGCTTGCTGGGACCCAAACTCTGTCATCCTTGTACCCCTTCCTTTTTCTCACCTACCAACGGCCATGGTCAGACCTTCTTATCTTCTTGATTCCTTGACTCCACCCTGGTCCAATCTCCTCCTATCCTTCCTGGATAACTTGATGGCTTCTTCACTAGCCTTTCCCTTAAATTTTTCTTTTCTTTTCTTTTTTTTAAAAATTACTGAAGAGTCTAACTTTATTTATTTATTTATTTATTTATTTATTTATTGTCCTCACCCAAGGACACTTTTCCATCTTTTGTTCAGATACAGTGGGAGGGAGGGAAGGAGAGGAAGAGAGAGAGAGAGAGAGAGAGAGAGAGAGAGAGAGAAACATCGACGTGAAAGAGACACCTTGAGTGGCTGCCCCCCTCACGACCCCAACCAGGACCCCAACCAGGACCCCAACCAGGACCCCAACCAGGACCCCAACCAGGGCCTGGGACAAACCGCAGCCGAGGTACGTGCCCTTAGCGGCAACCGAACCCGGGTCTCTCTGGACCACACGCCGACGCTCCAACCGCTGAGCCAAACTGGCCAGGGCCCCTTAAAATTTTCTTAAAATCCATTCTCCACCTTGCAACCAAATTTATCTTCTAGAATACAAATCTGACCATGTCCCTCCCCATGGCTACAAGGCTGTATGTGATCTGACCCATCCCATCTCACCCTGGCCTTTTCTTCCCCTTCCATTGCTAAGCTTCAAACACACCAGTTTCTATTCTGTTCAACAAACTGGGCTTGTTCCTACCTAAAGGCTTTTGCAGTTGCTGTTTCTCCAGCTGGAATGCTTTCCTCATATTTTCACACAGCTGACTCTGAATTTTCTTTGTTCCAGGGACCTTATTTGCAAAAGCAGGTCCTGGCCTTTTCTCACTTTCATGTTATAACTGTGCTTTTCCTCTGTGAACAGTCAGACTTGATAAACTGTCACTGAGGGAACTTGGCTCTGAAGGCCTGGGCTTTCTATTCCCATGAGAAAAGGCATGGATGTTATAGAGGGAAGAAAAGCATGAGGAGCCCTTTAGTCCTTGTTTGTATAAGGATGTTTCCAGGCTTGCTACTCTGTAATTTCCACGTTGAAGAGTACAGGAAGCCCACTTCTCATTGTACTTTAGGTGTTATCATAGTCATTTTGAGAGTCTCATAGTGATGAGGGTCACCTCCAGAGAGAGAAGCAATTCAATTCACTGTACTTGATGAGTTTGTCTGTCCCACCTGAGATGGAGAAAGTTTGAAAATATTTTTAGAACTCTGAAATGGATCAACAATTAGAAGAGAGAAACTCCCCAACATGCCTGGGAGCTGAGAAACCAGAATGGGTAATATTTGATTATCACCCAATATTTTTTTAGTAGACAATAGAGACTTTGCTAAACCTCACTCTTTATAAAAATAATTCCTCTGAAAAGTGTAAATGATTGCAATTTTTATTTTATGAGTTTTGGAGATCTCATTGTTTCTGTTATGAGGAAAAGGCTGTGCTGCCCACCAAAGAGGTGGTTTTATATGAAAATGTCATTACATGCTTCAAGATATAGTAACATTTAGGGATCCTCAATCCTAGAAATCATTCCTTTTTATAGAGCAACTTAATGTTTCCATTATAATACTGTGTAAAACCCGAAAGGAAATTTTTAAAAGGGCTCACCATGTAAAACTTTTCAAAATAATTTTATTTACAGAAAAGTTGCAAAAATAATACAAAGAATTCCCATGTGCCTTCATCAAGACCACGTTTGTTTTATCATTATCTATCTGTACAGAAACACACGTTTCTAAGTGTCCTTGGTTAGGGAAGACAAGATCTTGCAATTTATTAGGGGGCTGTTAATTTCTCAGCCTTGGTAACTATTTTGTCTCAGTTTCCTTCATTCCACTTGCCAGCGATTTTAAACTTCTTACTGATCCTTCCTTATCCACACCTCAAAGAGCTAAGGAAATCCGGGTAGAGTCTGCGTCGCCTGCTCCTTGCCTCCCAGGGAGGCCCGGTACTATTTCCTTCCTCCAGTCCCACAGCTTTCCAGCCCGAGTCTACTTTCTTCCCCAAACACGCCTCTCTTCCACATCCTGGTTCAAGAGAGCTGGCCATTTTCTGCACTCTGTAAATCCCTCACTAAACTGAGCAAAGTTGTCTGGAGAGTCGGGGTGGGGGGCTGTAGCAGGTCCGGGGGCTCGGAAAACCAGGGGCTCCGTGACAATGAGCGACAGCCAGACAATGTAGGGACATCCACCTCTCCAAGTTCGGCTCCCTTCTCTCTTCTGGCCCAGGGCAGCGGGAAGCTAGAGGGATGCGGAGGAGTGAAAAGTAGAGAGTATCCATGCCTTGCGCCTGGCGGTGACAATGATGTGCAGAGAGCAACTCTCCCGTGGAGGGTCATCCTGCGCAACGTAGTGGGGACTGGGAGCCGGGCTGCTCCGAGCGTGGGCAACGGGGAGGAGGAGGTGTTCCTGGGCTAGGGCAGGGCGAGTTTCCGTTCGTCGGCCCTGCGTGGGCAGCAGACTCGGCTGTGCGGTTCGCGTCCCACCTGTCACAGACGATCCCGCTGTGCACCGGAAGCTAGTTCGCTGTGGGGAACCTGCTGGGTCCACCCTCAGCGGAGCCCAGAGGTACACTTCCCTGGAAGCTCACAGCGGTTTCAAGTTTACTGCTCTCGCGAGATTTTCAAAGATCCGGTCCCAGCGCGTCCGTTTACGCTGTTGCCAAGGCAACAGGGCGGTGCCAGTGCCGGCGGGAAGAAGGTACACCAATTTTTGCCTGCTTCCCTGGGAGACTTCGGAAGTGGCCATTCCTGACGTTCCAGCCCCAGTGACCACGGCCTTTGCTCTAGGTGGTGCCCCTTGCCTCTGGGGTCCATGGGCCGGATCTCAGGGCTCGTGCCCTCTCGCTTCTTGACGCTCCTGGCGCATCTGGTGGTCGTCATCACCTTATTCTGGTCCCGGGTAAGAACTACCGCTACCCTCCTCCTGCCTGCATTCCCACTTCCGGGTGGTCCCAGCCCAACCCCGCTTCTTCTCCAGACCTGACTTAGTTGGGTCCTCCCGCCCCTCTTTTACTTTGTTTTCTCATTGCCCTGCTTGCTCTCCAGGACAGCAACATCCAGGCCTGCCTGCCTCTCACGTTCACTCCCGAGGAGTATGAGAAGCAGGACATTCAGTGAGTACTTGGGGCGGGGTGGAGTGGGTCTTAGAAGAAGTCCAGAGGGCCTGAGACAACTTTCTTCTTTGCAGGCTGGTGGCAGCGCTTTCTGTCACTCTGGTCCTCTTTGCAGTGGAGCTGGCTGGTTTCTTCTCAGGAGTTTCCATGTTCAACAGTACCCAGAACCTCTTCTGTATCCTTTCTGCTGCGCACCTTTCCCACAGGATCCATTTCTATCAGGACTCCTTTCAGACACCTAACTAGCACTTTGGGGCGTAGTAGTGTCTGCCCTTGCAGGCAAACAGAATCTCTCCAGTTCAGAGATCTTCTTAGGCAATGCAGATGTAATACATTCTGCGAAAATTTGTTAAGTCCCTCCTATGCACCAGGCACTGGAGATCCCAAAATGGGATAAAACACAGTTTTCTATCCTGAGGAGGAGGCAGACCCTATAATTCAGTGTGATAAGCACGGTGCTATAGGAATGTATGAAGATAAAAAGCACTGTGGGAACTCAGAAGAGAGAGAGGAAGTGAGGAAGATGGATCAGGGAAAGCTCTTGACGATTGAATTGTGGACCAAGAGGACCGGGGTGCTGGTGGGCGATTCCAGCAGAATGTATCAAGTCACTGTGACAGTCTTGGGTGGCTTGGGGTAGATGGGGAGCCTTTTCCTACCTCATCTGAAGGGTCCAGGCTGGCCTCTAGATAATGTGGAATGGGAGTAGTTTGTGGTCCCAGCTGTGCAGGCTCAGATATGGCCTCATGGTGGCTATCCTAAAACCCAGAAGGCAGGGCTGCTGGCTCTAGCCTTTGTAATTTTGGAGGGAGCAAGAAGTGAACCTTAGTGCAGATGCCAGCTCCACCACTTGCCTTTTCTGGCCCATCACTACCTGTCGATTCAAGGGCTTTCCTTGACTCAGTCTGTTCCCAAGCCATCGGTGCTCACTGTAGTGCATCTGTGTCTCTATCCTTTTTCATATTTGAGCGTTGGGAGTGCACCATGTACTGGTACATTTTTGTCTTCTGCAGGTACAGTAACATCCAATGTTTGAGGGTGGGGGGGGGGAAGGTTTACTCTAAATTTGAAGGTTTTCCCCATCCAGCCCTTTACTCCACATGTGAGATACCAGATCCAGTCAAGCTCCTGTAGTCTTTTGAGGTCCTGCCTCACCTATGCTTTGGGGGCGGCATCTCTGGTTTGGGGATTTGGGTATTTTTATCAGAAGGAGCCCTAAACCCACCATCTACCTCCCACAGCGCCCTCCCAGCTCTCACTGAAATGGCATTATTCATCGGTGTTTTGGGGCTGAAAAAGAAACCTTTCTGATTACCTTCATGAAAAGAAAGGCTGGAGGAGCAAGGGACCATTCACCGTTCCTGGAAAGAGGAAACCACTCCTAAAACTGCATTTGGTGGAGGATTTTAAGTGTTAGAGTAATTAACTGTCGAGTCTGGGATTATCAGCGTTTTATTTAGAGTTTTGTAAGGAAATCTGTTTAGAGTAACTTCAAAACTTATAAAAATATCTTTGGGGTAGCCAAACTACTAGAGAAATGTAAGGCTGTTTTCCAGCCTTGCAGACTGTAAGATAATATATACCGCTTTTATCTTGGTTATTACGGTAAATGTCAGGCGGAGGAGGTGGGCGGAGATATGTAAATACGCGGTGCTAACGTTAGGACTGCAAGCTCGTGAGTGGAGCATTCTGGGAGAAATTAGTTAATTTCTTTTGGCAGCCAAGTGGGGAAAAAACAGTTTTTTGAAAGAGCTGCAAATAAATAGAGCAACAGAAAGGAAGAATCGAAATAATTTTAGTGCTCAGGCAAGCGCGTTATTTACACACCCTATCCTATAGCGGAATCCTTTCCATTGAGTTGGGAATGCGACAATAAGACTCATATCGTCAGGTAGGATAATCCTTACCTGTTCCTCCTTCGGGAGGGCAGATATAGAATATGATGATTGGAGATCGCATGATACGTGATTAGCGTCTCTGCGTAATCAGGGCTTGCAACACTCTGATTGCTCCTATCTGATTCTTCCTGGCGATCCTCTTTCGAGTCTGTCTCTCTAAAACGTGTGGCGGAAGTTAGCTTTAAGTGTTCTTACAGCGGCGCAGTAACTTTCACTCCCGTTGTCAATTTACTGTAACCGGTATTCTCATTGTAAGTGTTATTGTTTGCTTCCTTTGGCGTGGAATCTCTTGTCTTTTATTAGGCTACAATTAAAACTTAATCTTAAAGGTCTAGTCCCTTGAAGTTCAAATAAGCCAGAGTTATTTTTGTATCCTAGGTTTGTTGAGACATTTTGAGTGACATAAGATCAAGGATGTAGGCAGCAACCAGGTATGTGCCAAACCAGCCAGGACTATGTTGTGTTTTGTGGCAAGAGCTTCCTGCTCAGGGGGATTTTCCTGGTGAGTTGGATCCCCCACACGGAAATTTGGCAAACTTCTTGAACACCCCACCTCTGTTAGCTACCACATGACAAGAATGTTTATTGGCAAACTTCTTGAACACCCCACCTCTGTTAGCTACCACATGACAAGAATGTTTAAAAGAAGGTTATTAGAACACATACAGCCTGGCAGTATGGCTTGAGCATGGTCCCATGGACTGAGAGGTCTACATTCATTTCTGGTCAGGGCACATGCGGGAGGTTGGCTGATCAACGTCATCTCTCTCTCTCTCTCTCTCAAAAACCAATTAAAAAAAAAAAACAAAAAAACCAGCCACAACAAAAAACATATACACTATTAGGTATTATACATACAAACTACAAGAGTCTAAAGTTCTAACTTGTCACAGGATAGATGTTTTCAGAATCATGTTTCCTGGTATAATGTATGTTGGGAAAATGGAACCTAGGCCATTCTGAATAATCTAAAGTCATCCAAGGAGATGTTTTCTGGTGTTGCTTCTCAGGTGATGTCTCACACATACATAACCTTTCCCTGAGCTTGTTTCTTCTGGCAGCCCTTCATCCTGAGCATTCATTCAATGAATACTTATTGAGCACTTACTACACACTGTAGTAGGCACTGCTGAGGGAATCCATGTGAATATGACCCATACTCAGCCTTGGCCATCACAGCTATTATGACTCAGACAGAAAACAATATCCCATACTTTCAGAGTAATTTGATAGCAATTTGTGAAAAGTGCTACAAAGGAGACTTCCACATGCTATGGAGGGATTAATTTGCCCAAGGTAGCAGTGTTGCTTCTACAACATCAGTTTGAGTGAGGTCATGGAGTGTGGCAGGAGCAGAGTTAGGGGAGCAGATTGTAAAAGCCCACTGCAGTCTGGCTTTCACTCCCAACCAAGGGTGCGTTCTGCTAATTTGTGAAAGCTAATTTTTTGTTTTGCAGAAACATTGTTAACCAGTTGTTAAATGCAACTATTACCAAAAATTAAATTATGTAAACTTACAATAAAATTATATTAAAAAACAGATGTAATAGATATTCAGAATTCATTATTTCCTGTTTATTTTACATTTCACTATTACATGCTCTTTTTTAAAATTTTTCTATTGATTGATTTTAGAGCGGGGGATGGGGGAGAAAGAGAAAGCCATCAGTTTGTTGTTCCATTTATTTATGCATTCATTGGTTGCTTCTTGTATATTCCCTGACCGGGCATCGAACCCAAAACCTTGGCTTATCAGGATGGTGCTGTAACCAACTGAGCAACTGGGCCACAGCCATTATTACATGCTCTTAAGGTTATTTACATTTATTGTATCTGTATGATAGAGATACTATATATTGTTTTACTACTGTGTATCTCTTCTGAACTCATTTAGTGATATCTGATTAATAGTTTGAAATTGAGCCCTGGCCTGGTAGCTCAGTTGGTTACAGCATCATCCTGATATGCCAAGGGTGCAGGTTCCAGTCAAGGCACATACAAGAATCAGCCAATGAATGCATAAATAAGTGGAACAACAAGTTGATGTAACTCCCCACCCACACCCCCATATCAAATCAATAAGAAAGAAAGAATGAAAAGAAAGAAATTGGCCTTATTGGGAATATTTATACCACAGAAATTGGCAAACACAACATATCAGGCATTGTTGATTGTGTAGATTTAAGAAAGCGATGGAGAAATATTAATGCAGATTCTATTTAGAAGTGTTATGTCTGTTGCATTGTTAATAGCAATAAAAAATGAGGAAATATTTTCCTGGGATATGTAAACTATTATCAGATTTGTCCATTGTTTTCTCATGATTATATTGAGATTATGCATTTTGGACAAGAATACCAAAGAAGTCAATCAAGTCATTGAGAAAACAGAAGTTTCAACATACCTTCATTGTTTCACTTTTTGTCTTACTTGAAAATGTAAATAAAAATATCAAGCAACATTAATGTCGGAACTACACCTGTAGTTAGGATACAACTCTATTTATGAAATCATGGATATAAAAGTGGGATGTATTATAAATAATATTGTATATTTTTTTATTTTTACATTCTGTTTACATGTAGTTTATATGAGTAAAATTTTCAATAAACCTATATACATGCATAAATGGATAACATTTTTGGAGAGTTGGTTGTTAAACATTTGTCAGCACATTCCTGCCCCCACCATCCCAAGGAACTCACCATCAATGACTCCCTTGTTTCTCTTTAAAAAAAAAATGTATTTTTTTTTTATTGATTTGAGAGCGAGAGAGAGAAACATCAATGAGAGAAAACATCGATTGGCCACCTCCTGCATGCCCCCCACTGAGGATTGGGCCCACAACCTGGGCATGTGCCCCCACAGGGAATCAAATGGCGACTTCCTGGTGCACGAGTCTACACTCGGCCACTGATCCACACCAGCCAGGCAATGACTCCCTTCTTTCTAAAACCAGAGGTCACTTCTCAGACTTTAGCTTGACCTCTTTTCAGTACATAATATGTTGACCACTCTCCTCTTTTGAAAATTTTTTCTCCCTTGGCTTCTGAAAAGTGATTCCCCTCGTTTACCTCCCACTGTTCTGACTGCTCCTTCTCAGACTCATCCAATGAATATTGATGAGGATCTATAATGTATCAGTCATTGGGGACATAATACTGGTTGTCTCCTTTGCTTACCCCTTAAATGTTGGTGGTCGGGTGACTTCATCCACCTCTTGTCTTCAAACACCAACCAGATGCTGCTGGTTTCCAGGTCTTGGCTTTCTTATGTGAGCTCTAGCCCAGGGCAAAAGCTATTGGAACAAGCTGTGGAGCCAATCCTGGGTTCAAAGTGCACCCTCTACCCTTCTTGGCTGTGTGATCAGCAACAGGTAGGTCAGTTAACCTCTCTGTGCCTCAATTCCCCCATCCATACTCCGGAAGTAGCTACTACAAGCACTTCGACTATTTGTTTATTAGTCAACACCAGAAGCTTTGCCAATTAGCATCAGAAATAGGTTTCTATTTTATTGTGAAATTAGTGACTTGTTAATCCGCATAAGCCAGTCACAAAAAGACAAATACTTCATGGTTGCACTTTTATGTGGTACCAAAAGTAGTCAAATTCATAAAGACAGAAATGAGAATGGTGATTGCCAGGGGCCAGAAGAGAGGGGAGTGGGGCGTTATTGTTTAAGGAGTATCGAGATTCAGTTTTTCAAGATGTAAAGAGCTCTGGAGACTGGTTGCACAATAATGTGAATGAACTTTACTGTACTGTACACTTAAAAAATAGTTAAGATGGCCTGGCCGCTGTGGCTCAGTGGTTGAGCATCCACCCATGCACCAAGAGGTCGCCAGTTTGATTCCCGGGCAGGGCACATGCCCAGGTTGTGGGCCCCATCTCCAGTGGGGGGCATGCAGGAATCAGCCAGTCCATGTTCTCTCTCATTGATGTTTCTATCTCTTTCTCCCTCTCCCTTCCTCTCAAATCAATTAAGAAAAATAATAATAATAAAATAGTTAAGATGGTAAATTTTTTTTTTTTTTTTTTTTTTTTATCCTCACCCGAGGACATTTTTTGATATTTTGTTCAGATAGAGTGAGAGGGAGAGAGAGAGAGAGAAACATCGACGTGAAAGCGACACATCGAGTGGTTGCCACCCACACGACCCCACCAGGGCTGGGGACAAACTGCAACCAAGGTACGTGCCCTTAGCGGGAACCGAACCCAGGTCTCTCCAGACCGTAGGCCGACGCTCTATCCGCTGAGCCAAACCGGCCAGGGCAAGATGGTAAATTTTGTTATGTCTCTTTTACCTCAATTTTTTAAATAGATAATTAAAAAATAAAAATATCAGTGGTGAAAAGTGGGATTAATCAATAAAATAACGACCAAGTAACCATCTGGGGGAAATATGGATCATACCTTACACAAATAGATCAAAGACTGTAGTGTAGCCCTGGCTGGTGTGGCTCAGTTGGTTTTGAATCATCCTCATGTATAAAGAGGTCACCAGACTCAGGCCAGGTTTAGGTGGGTTGCAGGCAGCTCAATCCCCCAGCCCCAGCTCCCGCCCTCACCTCAGGGTGCTCTGCAGGAGGCAGCCAACTGATGTTTCTCTTCCTCTCTTTCTCTCTCTCGCAAATCAATAAGAACATATTAAAAACAAAATATAGCCTGGCCAGTGTGGCTCACTGGTCGAGCATTGACCCGTGCACCAAAAGGTTGCTAGTTTGCTAGTTTGATTCCTGGTCAGGGCACATGCCCAGGGTGTGGGCCCAATCCCCAGTGGGGGCATGCAGGAGGCAGCCAAATGATGTTCTCTCCCTCTCCCTTCCTTTCTCTAAAGTCAATAAAGAAAAAATATTTTTTTAAAAAGTTAACAGATATCAATCTAGAGAAAATATAATTCATATTGCAGAGAAAGAGCTAATTTTGATACATAAACATCACCTACATATTTATAAAGAAAATACCAACAACCCAATAAAAAAGTGTACAAAAAAAACCTTTCACATCGATGTTTCTCTCTCTCTTCCTCTCCCTCCCACTCTATCTGAACAAAAATAATAAAAAAAAAAATGTCCTCGGGTGAGGATAAAAAATAATTAAATAAAATAAAAAATTTTAAAAGTGTACAAAAATATGTATGGACATTTTACAGAAAAGGAAACAAAGAACTCTCAAATATATGGAAAGATGCCTAACCTCATTCACCATAAGAAAAATGCAAATCATGTTCAACTTTACTTGTAATGATCAAACATTTCATAGAAAATTGGAGAGGGGCCTGGCTGGTGTGGCTCAGTGGCTGAGCATCATGCACCAAGAGGTCACTGGTTCAATTCCCAGTCATGGCACGTGCCCAGGTTGTGGACCAAATCCCCAGTGGGGGGCATGCAGGAGGCGGCCAGTCGATGATGTTTCTGTCTCTCTCTCCCTCTCCTTTCTCTCTCTCAAAAAATAAATAAATGAGTAAGTAAGTAAGTAAGTAAGTAAGTAAGTAAGTAAATTGCCCTGGCCGGTTCGGCTCAGCGGTTAGAGCGTTGGCCTGCGGTCCAGAGAGACCCGGGTTTGGTTCCCGCTAAGGGCATGTACCTGGGTTGTAGTTTGTCCCCGGCCCTGGTTGAGTCACGTGGGTGGCAACCACTCGATGTGTCCCTTTCATGTTGTTCCTCTCTTTCTCTCTCTCCCTCCCACTCTATCTGAACAAAAAAAATGTCCTAAAATGTCCTCAGGTGAGGATAAAAAAAAAATAAT